GAGCACCAGACTGCAGAATGAGGCAATAATACGGACCAACAAGAAGCCGCCTTATCAATGCCAGCATTAGTGACTGGATTTGTTTTTTTTTCCGGTTATGATTAGTTCTCATCTCCCTGTCATCGTCTTTGTTGTTGTGGTTGGTGATGGGAGTGGAAAGTTGAACTCCACATCTGAGGACAAGAGGTCCCGGGGATGGTGGGAGGTGGCGCCAGGGTCCATTGGACTGGCCTCCTTTGTGTGTGACCAAGACCACACCTGGGCGCTGGGGTGGCCTCGGCCTGTCCGGAGGAGAAATGAGAAAAGCCCAAATCTCTGAGTGACCCCTCCGTTCCCCTGTGTTCTTCTGTCTTCCATAGTATTTATTTTATTAGTATTTAATTTGTATTGTTTCATTGGTTTCTGATAAGTCTGTATCACTGTGACGATTTGAGACAACTTGTTGTATTGAGGGACTTTCTTCACCTCCTTTCTTTGTCTTTCTTGATCAGCTCTGGAGCTGCCCCCTTCCTCTGACAAAGTGACTCCCAGGTTTGTTTTCACCCCACTGGGGAGGGGGCAAGAGGGGTGGGTGGAGGGGGGCCCTGAGGACCTGTGACTAATGAAGGTGGCTGGTGCTGGCCTGGGGCTGGGGGGTTGAGGGTAATCCTGAGGCTTTGGTGCTTCCCCCCCCCTCCATTTTTCTGTTTCACCACCTGCCCTTTGCAGCAGCCCCACTACCTTGAGATTAGTGTTTCTGGGGAGAGGTGGATTGTGAGGGGGGCGGGGTTAATGGGTCACTCTATTTGGGGAGAGTCAAGAATGGGCCTGAAGGCTAAGGTCGCCCCCTCCTCACACTTCCTTCACTGCTCCCCTCAAGAGTGCACAATATGGGCTTGTACCCACATCTCCACCCCCCTCCTCCAGCCACCCCACCCCCTCCGGCCCTCACCCTTTCTCCATGCTGAGCCTCTCAGCTCCCAGCCCTTGACCCTCACCTCTCCCCCTTGTCAGACTCAGTACCCCCTTCCTCTCTCCTCCCTGCTTCTCCCTCTGCCCCCCATTCTCCTTTGGAATCTGCAGAGGGCTCTGGGACGGATTGCCAGATGTGAGATCCAGGCCTCAGCTGTTTGCTAGGCGAGGGCAGGAGGTTGGGCTCCGTTCCTGCTAAGGGACCTGGGGCTGACTGTGGGGCCCTGCCAGGCCTCCCTCCTGGCCTCCTGCGCTGGGTTTGTTCTGGGACAGAGAGGGAGAGAGGGAGGAGCTGGGGGGGGGGGCGGTTCCCTGTCCCTGCCCCGCTCTGTGGCATTGTCTTTCCTACTCCTGTTCTTATTTTTCTACCAATTGCTATTTTTTCCAAACAATCCTTGTAGAGAGTATGTACCATCCGAAGGCAGGAGGGCCTCACTGTGGCCGGCTCTGGTTGGAGATGGTACAGTTTTATTGTACAGGTGCTAAAACAACAACAAAAGAAGAAAATGGAAAAAAAAAAGACAAAAAAAAAGGCAAAAAAAAAAAAAAAAAAAGCCAGTTTGAGGGTGGGACAATCTGTTCTCTGGAGACTCCTGACCCATGCGGGAGCATTGGTGGTTATTTTCTTTGTATTGTGTTTGTTCTTTGTTCCCAGGGGGAAGTTCTAGGCCCCCTTCTGTAGGACTGCTCCCCACCCCCACCATACTGCCCAGTTGGTTTTGAACAGCTGTTCTCCCTTTTTAAAAAAAAAAAAATATATATATATATATATATAAAGTTGAGGGGTTTTGGGTTTTAATTTTTTGGTTTTGTGGGGGTTCATGGTATTGTGTGGTTTATTTTATGTTTGCCTTTACCTTTTTGCATTTGGGTGTGTATTCTGGCTGCCCTTTATGTTTCATTTTAAGCAACTGGCTGTGGAGTCAAAAACACTTGCATACTGAAAAACCTGTGTCAGGGCTTCTGTCTCCTGTCTTTACTCTTCTCCCCGCATTGGCTCTTCCGTGGTTAAAACAGATGGGCGTCCTGATGGGAAACCCCTGATCCTGCCTTGCAGTTTGGGTACCACAAATGAGGACAAGGTGGCGGGGCTAGTGAATATTGGGGCCACTGGGGCAAGATCTGGAAAGAAAAGGCAAGGCAGGGGCACATCCTGGTGGCGTGCGGGGACAGGGAGCAGTGGGAAGAATGGACTACCTGCATCCATTGAGCCATGCGTGTGTGCGCACGCGTGTGTGTGTGTGTGTGTGTGTTCCTTGTTTGCCACAGGAGTAGCAGGACTGGAAGGAGGAGCCCTCTTTTAGGCTATAAGGAATGACCCTCTTTAACTCAAGGAGATCACCTGCCTGCTGGTTCCCTTGCCCTGGGCCACCCACATCTGCCTCTGAGCACACAGTCTTCTCACTCCCTCACTGTTGTGCCCGTGCTCCCCCTGCCCACCCGCACAGTGCAGGCCTTCCGTGGTTCTGGCTTCCTAAGAGCCAGCTACTGTGGAGGCAAGATGCCCATCCTGGATTTTACACCTTTTCTTCCCACTTCTGAAAAGCAGTGGTAGAAGCTCCAGTTCCTTCTGACTGTTGGCTCCAGAATGGGCCTGTTACTGGTTGAGGGGAAGGGGATGTTTGATAGGTCTGGGGTGTTTAAGCTATATTCTTAGGACCTCTCCCTGTGGCTTAAGTCTCTGGGGAACCCTGTCAGTGTACAGGTGAGGGGATCTGTGGGTCTGGCCAACTGGAGGCTAGCCAACCCCCGGAGTGAACTGTGAGCTGCCCTTTGCTTAAGCCCCAGGTCTTTTTGTCCAGGTGGAGGAACATCCATTCCTTTGAGCCACAGCATTAATCTTCCTCATTGGCCTTTGCTTACCCACTTTCTGATCTTGATGCTTCATGTTTCCAAACAACCGCATAACAGCACTGATTTTAGCTCAATCCTCTGTTTGGAACTTGCAGTTAAGACATCAGATATGTCAGTAGGTCACCAAAGCTATGTGGTGAGTGCAAGGATTCAGCTCAAAGGGATGGGCAAGAGCCCTGGGGTGGTTGGAAGGACTTCCTGGGAGAGGGTGCTCAGTAGACACTTCAGTAGAAAAACAGGAATTAGGGGTGGTAGGGAAGAGTCTCTGAACTGAGGGGACAATCGGAGCAAAGGCTTAGAGACAAGAGGGTAGTACGTGCAGGAAACCACAACCCACCTGAGTGTCACTGCAGCTGGAGGGGACAGATTGGGAGGGAGGGCACAGGAGACCTGCCAGGCATGCCAAGGAGCACAGTCTGGACTTTTGCTTTAGGTAATGGGGAACCATGGGAAAACTTTAAACTGGGTAACCATAGAGGGTTTTTTGTTTTTGTTTGAATAAACTGGTAAAAATGTGTTGGGAGGTGGGCCAGACGGAGAGGTAGAAAGGTAATCGCTTGAGATTCAGAAGAAAGGACGAAGGGAGAGTGGTGAGGGTACTTACTGTAAGGCTTTCCACTTAAGGCAGAAGGGAAGATGCTGCGGGCAGAGTCAGAATGACCCCAGGGGAATGGGTGAGGGGCCTTTGGGGAGCCGGGGACAGCCATGGGCGTCTGGGTTTGGGTGTGTGGGCACACACAGCCCTTTATTTCCCTGCAGAAAGGAGGTGAGTTAAAAGCAAAACCAACCAGCAGTTCCTTGTTTTCTTGCCTTTGGGCTCCTTTCCCCACACCTTTCCTAGAGACCCCTCACTGCCCTTCTGCCAGAGTGGGAAGACCAAGGCAGGAGGTATGGGCTGTGATAGGCTCTGCATCCCCGCTCCAGACCGGAGTGAGGGCGGTGGCCTCCCTCTTACTGAATGGATCGCCTCATCCTTCTAGTGCGGCCTAGGGGAAGGCGCCGGCTCAGCACTTCCCGCCCAGGCTGACCTCGGGTGAGAACCTAACCATTCTGTCTTCATTGCTCCATCTGCCAAACAGGGCTCGATTTACCCACGGAGGAAGGGAATCGTACTGAGCAAACACGGCTGTTTAGCTGAAGTTAGTTCCTCCTACGTGCCGAGGTCGTGGGCCTACTGTTAATGATGGTTTTACCAGAATGTTCCTCTTTGGGGTGCAGGGTTAAAGGGAGGCCCTGTTCAAGTCTCCGTATTTCTGCCGAAAGGACCATCCGCTCTCAGCACATCCCCATTTGGGTTGGAGGGGGGCGAATTGGGCAGTAAACCGCCCCTTCCATAATCTAACCTGTAACAGGGGAGCTTGTTGAGTGTTCTATTGTGTCCCGCCCCTGCGAAGCCGTGTGTGTGTGTGTGGGGGGGTGTGGGGTGTGTGTTTTAG